TATAGAAGTAACTACTGTGTTTGTAACTTACAAAACAAACAGAAACCTTTTAGATACAGTAATATTAGAAACTGACAAAACATTTTAGTTATGATAAAAACAGAACCAATTAACATTGCGTCATTTGTATATAGAAGTAACTACTGTGTTTGTAACTTACAAAACAAACAGAAACCTTGCGTTTGTAATATTTTAGTTGCAATAAAAACTAAGAACGTTTAACATATCCAGAACATTTTATTCATAATGAAAAAATCGGAAGATATTTTAAAGAGAAGAACGTTAGACTTTATCATGTTGTTTCAAGAAACAACATTGAAAAGTAACACTAACTAGAGAGACTAGAACTGTTATAGTTGACAACACCTACCTGTTTCTTGGTGTCTTCTCTACGACAGATTACTTGAAGACAAGGGAACTATTAAGCTTTTGTAGAGATACATTTAAATACTTTGACCGCCCCCTTATATGTGGTTACATTTCTGAAGTCTTTGCGTTCTGAAATATTGAAATGATTGGTAAAACCGTCTGTTACGTCACGATGACGTTCTGCTGTAACCTTGTAATTGGCTCTGACTGTTAGTGAAGCACCATGCATCGTCATAAAAAACTCGATAGAGATTTAGCTTGGAATACCCAACTTCAGAGTTATGTTCTTAGTTAAACATCTGTAAATTATTTAACGACGTCCCTAGCGTGATGTAGTTAAAGGTGAACTATTTTAACATATAAAGCATATGTCAACAAGAGCCAGTTGTTTCCAGATTGGATTCAAATGTATTACTTTATAGAAATAGATTATTCCGTGGTATATTATCTATCCTTTCTAGCCTAGAAGTTTGGTTTCTTCTCGTCAATTATTTTTCTTTGTTGTTGTAAATAATTTCCTAAATGGTTTGATTTTGCGACTTATGTTTTGTGGTAATTTAACAAATCTTGATATGTACAGATTATATGTCTGTTCCCGTCTACACTTTCATTCCTATCTGTTTCTTTTGCATTTCTACTGCTAATAGAAACTCCTAACTCAAATGTCTGTCTGTCCGTGTTTATCACTATTCCTCCTTTAACTTGTAGTGGTAACTTTTATGTTCCTGAAGCTTTTAACTTGATGTTAGTACGTCACATTTTAACAAAATAAAAATAAATTTTCTGTAGAAAAGATTGTGTTATGACCAAGTATAAAATTTAAAAAAAAACTTTCTACAGAAGTTCAAATTACTGATGTTCAGAAATAAAATACATAATATCCAATTACTATTTTGTTGTAAAATTTCAACACTATTCATTTTTAATCTTGAGTTTCAAATTCCATTAAGATCCATTAGATCGACAAACTTTTAGAAATAAAGAATTACTACGATTGTGTTAATATCGTTTCATAAGGTTTAATATATTCTGTAAACATTAACATCCCGTCCCATTAAAAAACGTTGAATAGCCATGAGTTATTGTTAGATTATTATTATTTATAAAAGTAAGCACACTAATGCTAACAAGAAACAATATTAAAAACCTACGTTTCGAAAGACAACGGTTTTCTCCATCAAATCATACAAGTCTAAGTTTAAAAAAAAACACATGACGATGTGACAGACAAATGATGTCCACGAAAGAAGAGAAGAGCGCCACTATATGTATGACAACAGGACTTTGAAACAACTAATATATAAGCTAGGAATGTGACAAATTTCGTTGCCATGATTGAGTTTAGTATAATTTGGG